ATAGCATGAAAGCTATAACAAGCACAAAATGGTTACGAGGTCGGTCCCAGGGACCGAGCCTGTGTTGAAAGAGTTAATTAAGGGATGTAACTGATAAATAGCAAACTAAGTATAACATACAACATTTACCAAACATATGGTAATATGAAAATTTATTAGAATGCCCCATTACATCTGTAGTTTTGATTTATTGTGCCTATGAAATAAAACCATTGTAGGTAAAATGTTGAAAAAAAACCCATCAACATAGGTAACTATTGATTTTTTTCACTTAACCCACAACTTTAATATGCTATACAATGTAACTACTTTACAGTTTTAAGAGAAAAACAACAAATAAACAAATGATTAAGTGTAGTATATTTTTTTAAAAGTTGTTCAAGATGTTTAATCTGAATATAAAGTGGTGCAACACTATCACACATGACTGTCTTTTACTTTTTATACCAGTCATCACTGACAAAAAAAAAGTGAGATTTTCATATTCTGAGTTTTACTGCAGGTACATGTAGGTATATAAGGGACGATTTCTTTTTTCAAAATATCATCCAGTACATCTAATATAGTGTGGTGTTGCCATTAAATACTAGAACACAGAGAACTAACACTCCTTAACAGAGTCATATCTTTACATGACAATGGTTGAAGTTTACAAAACATTACAAAAGGCCTCAACTTTTTACCAAGTATTGTGAAGTACATATTGGACAAATACAATGACATCCAGTCCTATTAGTATCAGACAAGACAGAAGATGAAGAAAGAAGGCTCACTGAAAGAGATAACAGATATCTAAAATTCAATTCCCTCAAAAACTAAAGAAAAATTGTGTAAAACTTTTGATGACATTAAAAATGATGTATGGAGAGTTTGAAGATGTACAGTCTTATGAGAGGATGTTCAGTTGAACCTATGACCTGCAGATTGCTAGTTCAGTGCCCTAACCACTGAGCCATGAGTTGGAAAAGAATAATTTTCAAGTCTTCCCTTGTGTGGTGTGTAGATGGATAGCTTAAAAATGTTTAATCATATAGGTCCATTATTAAGTATAATAATGATCCACACTAAATGCTGTTGCGACTAATGCAAAGACACGAATGTATCGATTCATATCAGTCAAAATAATTAAAAAGGTCTGCATACCGAGGGACAAATTGGTTAGTAGGACGTTTAGGCCTGTATTCTGGATGAACCATGAAAAGCATGTGTGGAAATCCAGTTCCAAAATAGGCTCCATCTGTGTGGTGATGTCGCGATGACTTGGGGTTGTAGACATCCATACACTTTGGGCAATACAGCTTGACCATGGCCTCTCCTGGGACATCTGAGAGACCTTTATATGCATATACAAATAGCCCATTAAGTTGCTAACACTATCAAAACAATCTGACTCTTTAAAGATATGTTACAAAATGTTAATGAAAAACAAAATAAATCAATATTGTAACTTGAATCAATCAAATCAGATTTCTTAAATAAACAATTTAAATCGAACCTAAGCAGCTTTTACACCCTGAGCTAAAAACGAAAAGCATAAAACTGAGTGAAGTTTATAATATAACCTAACATTTGATCACAAATGGAAGAAATTACATAATGGTGCAAATGACCACATGATTAGTTTTCTTCTAAGCATGATTGGTATTTTTGTAACTGTAAAAGTAACTGGTAAACATTTTAGTAATAGCTAAAAAAACTATTACAAGCCCTTATTTGGTTTTGTGAAAGAAAAGTTTAATCTCTAAATGCACGTCTTTGGTGTAACATTGGCTGCTTTAAATAAATTAGATAAAACAACAATTTTTATAGCAGATTTCCAAATATTAACAGGAACTCATTTTAGCATTTGTAAAATGAGAATTAACAAAAATAACCTTTACCTGTTATAATAACACAAGATGAAATTACAATAAGAACAGCATTTCAACACTTTAAGTCACCAAATGTTTCTTCGAGATAAAAATTCAACCTTACCTATAGGAAGCATTGGTTGGTTTTCACAATAAACACGTGGGCAGTAACCGAAATCACCATTTTGATATTTTTCTATCTGAAAAACAAAGTTGATAAATAAGCACTATCTACTAAGCTTTGAGTAATTAAGAACCTGATGAAGAATGTTTACTCAAAAAGTTGAAATAAATAAAGGATAATCTTTAATATAAATACCTTGTAAAAGCTCTATATTAACAGAGTACATATTTTTATCTATTTTAGATAGTGTCTCCATTAAACACATTTTCCTCAGCAGCAGCTGCCACAATATTACTACACTACTATTTGACTATACATCTGACAAAAGAAACGTTTTTACTATAATAATTATTAATGTATAGATTTGTTCTTTTTGTTCTAAACAGATTAATACAGGGAACTATAAAAACTCCTGGACTTTACCATTTGAGCAATTCCTCGATTTGTTAGAATATAACGGGCATGAATTAGACCATAAAGCATCTCAGCAGCTTGCTCAATAAGATCACTTTGATTAGGGTTATCTTCTAGTTCATCATCTACAAAACACACACAGGAAAAAAAAAATATTAACAAAATACTAACAAGCAAATAAAAAAGAATATGAATTGTACAAGAATGAAACCTACTAAATGTGTCAACTGTTCACCTAATATCTTCGGTAAGTCCAAGATAAATGTTAATCAGTGATATATTTAAATTACCAAATATTCTATATGACAAGAGCATATAAAATTATTAGCAATGTCTACAAGTATTATAACGATAGCTCGTCTACAAGTATTATAACGATAGCTCGTCTACAAGTATTATAACGATAGCTCGTCTACAAGTATTATAACGATAACTCGTCTACAAGTATTATAACGATAACTCGTCTACAAGTATTATAACGATAACTCGTCTTTAAGTATTATAAAGATAACTCGTCTTTAAGTATTATAACGATAACTCGTCTTTAAGTATTATAACGATAACTCGTCTTTAAGTATTATAACGATAACTCATCTTTAAGTATTATAACGATAACTCGTCTTTAAGTATTATAACGATAACTCGTCTTTAAGTATTATAACGATAACTCGTCTTTAATTATTATAACGATAACTCGTCTTTAATTATTATAACGATAACTCGTCTTTAATTATTATAACGATAACTCGTCTTTAATTATTATAACGATAACTCGTCTTTAATTATTATAACGATAACTCGTCTTTAAGTATTATAATGATAACTCGTCTTTAAGTATTATAATGGTTACTCAAGGACTTATACATTACTTTTCATCTCCATTATTTTCATCAAATAAACAGATCAGTCTGAGCAAAAAATATATAACAGACTTATACAGTATTAGCACACTATGCTTAAAACAAATATGAAACTAAAGATATTTTCAAGATTCAGTTCAAACATGATGCTGGGACACAGATTTGTGAAGTATACCTTTCAACAACAGAATGCTCTTATTACAAATAAATGACTCATTTAAAGTTGATAGGCAGTTATATTTAAGAATATTTGAAAAAACCAAATTTGTACTTAAATATAAAATGCTTTTGCTCAAAAAATATAATAGGATTTTTTTTTTAATAGATAAGACTGCATTTATCAATAGAAATAAAGAAAAATGGTAAATATACGTTCAACTATCATTAATTCTCTCACAACTAGTTGTGTCCTCAACATATTTTTTATATCTTAAACAAGAAACGTAAAGATGATGAATACGAATTAAGATACTTTACAAGATGTTTGTCTAAAAAAAACAAAACCGTGTTGGATTTGTCATCAGGTAGCTAGCTATCCATTAGAAACAACTAAATTTTCTTATTCTTATAAAATTTTAAGTACTTTACATTCAATCAAGTAGTGTGACTTAGTGTTTCTGAGTGTTTACATCCAATCAAGTAGTGTGACTTTGTGTTTCTGAGTACTTTACATCCAATCAAGTAGTGTGACTTAGTGTTTCTGAGTACTTTACATTCAATCAAGTAGTGTGACTTAGTGTTTCTGAGTGCTTTCCATCCAATCAAGTAGTGTGACTTAGTGTTTCTGAGTACTTTACATCCAATCAAGTAGTGTGACTTAGTGTTTCTGAGTACTTTACATCCAATCAAGTAGTGTGACTTAGTGTTTCTGAGTACTTTACATCCAATCAAGTAGTGTGACTTAGTGTTTCTGAGTACTTTACATCCAATCAAGTAGTGTGACTTAGTGTTTCTGATGTCAATATAATAGAAAACTTCGTAGATTTAGAGTAAATGTAAATAACATTTATTGTGTTTTTTTTAGTAAAAAGCTACACAATGTGCTATTTGTACCCTGTCCACCACAGGGAATCAAAACCTGGATCTTAGCATTGTAAGTACATAAACTTAACACTGACCCACCAGGGGGACTATAATATTTTTACATTTTGAACACAATTAAGATGGATTTTATTACAAGATATACAAATAGTACTTAGTTCTTTAGCAATTTGAAAAAATCTCATAACACATGACCATTCTAGCTTGCATAGAAAGAAGTCCGTTTTGAAAATCACTTGGGAATAAGTACTACCAACAGCCTTCTGAAAATTAATTTGTATAGCTGCCAAAACTGTTAAAAAAAATGCATAACTTGTGCTGATCTGCAGTTGCACACATGACAGATCTAAAACACGTATATTATGAAATATTCTACATACATTGCAGCATTTTATGGATGCCATCCATCTAGTAGTACTTAATGATAGTCAGTAAATTCTCAAATTTTAAAAGAGAACAAACAGAAATGTGTTTTCATTTACTATGTACTTGAAAACAGTTTTAAGTTGACTTTTGTGCCTTAAGCTTTAACACACCTTTTTTAAGTTTGTTAGTGTCATATAAATTAATGAGTTTGTGCACAGTAAAACTGTGAATTTTTTGGAAACGGTTGACAGCAGTGTAAACCAATAAGATGGAAAAAGAAACAAAAAAGATCACTTTGATCTAACGAGTATGATGCAGTACCTAATAATTTGGTAAATCAATATATTACTCTTGAAATCAAGACTACAACTTTACAATAAAATTCAGACTCAGTATCAGCACATTACACTTTCCCTGTTATATGCCTCAGAATTCAGTCAGCTGAACAACTAGTTGAATCAAAAGGGTTAACTCGTGACAAAAGAAATTGTGTTGAGTAGTCTAGACTTGTATGTATGCCTAAAGTTATAATTAGATGTTTGGTGAAGTTACATTTCAGATATTCTGACTTAACTACATAGAGGCAAAGTATAAATATATCAGAAAAACCGACCTGGCTCAAGATCCAATATCATGTCCAGTGCTTGTCTATAATGAGGAACTTGCTCACTCAGACCTGTTAAGTTAAATTTATCCTGAATGTAGTCTTCATCAACCTATGATGAAAAATAGAGAGAGAAGTGATAACTGATCATAAAATATACATGACACTTTATATGTAGAAATCTAAACAAGTACTCATGATCAAACAATTAAATATAAACAAATTTCTATAACATACAGTAGTATCACCATTCTAAGGTATAATAAATACTAGTGGTGCTTAAAACTACTAAAAAATTCCCACACTCATACATTTATAAACAGACTAGCAGATGCCCATTGAAAAATTCAATGGTAACTTTCCTAAAAATAGTAATGAATAAATATAAGATGTCATTCAACCCAATCCCTTGGATCAGAGCGTATACACAATATGATTGTCTAGTGGGCTGTTTACGACAGTCTTTTGTCATTCTGTGTTATTTCAATAAGAAAATGACACTGAATTTATTATTAAGCAAAAGAGTCCGACTGCAATGCATTGTTGGCAAAAATGTTTGTTTTTCAATGCAATGGGTATATCCAGCACAATAAAGTACTCAGTTCTCTAAGTAACCATGGGTATTTTTTCTGCCGGATGTCACTGTCCCTTGTCAGTTCTATAAGAAGTGTCAAAGGGGAGATATTCAATTCAATTATTTGACATGATACAATAAAATCATGCATGTATATAATACTGACATTATATATATACATCATACCAAACAACAACAAATGTATACTAAAACACGTTCCTCTTCCCTCTTCATGCATTTTTCCATTCAAGCTCCCATCTTCAAATTCTCTCTCTTTCAATCAGTTAACAGGGGAAGTCCTATTTTTTTTTTAATGAAATTCCCTCATCAAAAGAAACTTTTTGTTCTTAAGTTGTTTTCTCAAATTGACCATTCAGCACATACAAAGACTTATGGATCCATGTTAATATGAATGTGAAGTTTTAGGAATTGCAAACAATGAATAATTCTCCTACAATTCACTCTTGAAAATAAGCATTTTAGTTCTGATTAACATCATTTTTTGTAGTTACTAAATAAAGGGTGGAGGTTGAGAGTCTTATAGAAATATAGGGCAGTTATTTCTGCTATGAGAATATTTCTGCCCTTTTGTACATCTCCAAAAAAGGGTGGTTTATTTCTGACATTAAGGGTAACTTTCTTCCCACAACTCTCTGCTGATAACAAAATGCAGTAGGAGTTGAGACATTGTGGGTTCAAGCACTCAACTCCTAACCCTTAACTGATTCTTCTTAGTTATTGGCTAGTTTGACATCGGCATCTACATTTTGTCTGATAGATGGAATATCCCCAACGAGTTTGGTTGCTATAGCCACAGACATTTTTTGGTACAAGCTTTAATGATGACTACAAAGGCCAGTAATGAAAAAAATTAACTTCGATTTTTGAGCATACTTAAACATATTGGCAATACTACACTGTACAATGTATTGTATTAAATCAAAAGATGTACAAATTCACTTGTAATTCGAGATGGGCAATGAAACTGATTAATCCATTAGCTATAAGGATCTCTTACATTGATTAATGTCATCAACTTGACAAAATTAGCATTTCTGGTTAATGTTTTCCATTATTACAAATAATCAAAATATTGCTAATATGACTTATTATTTTTAATTAATTCAAAGTTGTTCAGCTTAATTAATTTGTGTCACAACTCACACAAAAATTAACTAATCAAAGGTGTTTCCAATTATCACTATTTTCAATTATTCCAACCATCCAAGTCTCAGGTGAGAATAATCAATAAGTTTAACATGATCTGATAATTTGCCCAACGTTTAATCAATTATCAAATTCCACTAATCACCCAGCTTTACTTGTAATGTGCCTAATTTATAGGGCAATGATTCTATCCATTTATAAATATTAATCTATGCACATCAAATGTAAACAAATCATAAATATTACTTATATCAATAAATATTATCAACACTGTGATTTTTCTAAGTCTTAGTACGAAGTAAGTATTCTGATTCTTAAACAGGGAATACATTGATATTGATTATTTGAGTTTTTATGGTTAATAAACAACACACACACACACACACATATATTGTTTTACAATAATATGTGTTCAAAAGAATGAAAAAATACAAAACTTTTTCAAAACCAAAATGTAGCCAACCTTTTTTCTTTTGTGTTCTAAAAAATTAGAGGTGTTCAGAAATAAGTGGAACAGTCCATTGCAAATGGAAAATAATTAGAGCCTATCAACTGAATCCTAATTTTGATTAATTGGATATTTTATGTGACACTAATCAGTGCAATAGATGCTCATAGGCAATCAATTATATTGATTAAAAAAAAATCTACACAGAGGTTTCTGTCTCTACAGAAGCCTGGTAGGTGGAATGGTTTTCCCAAATTAAATTGTCCAGGTTGGTTTGATCTCTCAAAATTACAGCTTCTAATAATATTTCCTTACAAATTATAAATATTTATTAATGTTACAGTACATTTTTAAATTATAATTTTAACTATAAAATTTACCATTTTTATTGAAAAACTTAAAATATTATATAACCTAAACACCAATCATTTTCTAATGTGCAATTTTTACAAGAACTTGAAAAAGAATTACACACCGACATCCAAGCTTTAGTAAACAGTTAATTTCTGAGAGATTTATTAATAAAACCAAGGTTTCAGGAAAAACTTGTTTAAAAAAAGTAAATACAACAACAACAATTATAGATCACAATATTGTAGCAAAACTTTGGCTGTGCCCAGAAAAATGGATGTCAGATGAAAAACTGTGTGTTCAACAAATATTCACTATTTCTGGGGATTCCATCCAACAAAATGTAATTTTTTTTTCATTTTAAGCCTTGCTCTTTACACTGTATCTTCCAAAAATGAGTGGCCTTGAAATATGCATGATAATTTTTGTAAGCATTTTGACTCAAGGAACTTGATGTTTTAACAACTTAATAAAACAGACTTACCTCACAAAAAAATTCATTCCCACGAAGACCACAAAACCAAGAAATCCAGGAAACTTCTTCTGAAGAACTCATGTTGCTGATGATTTAATACAATAGCTTCTGGCTCTTTCCTTCTAAAATTTTATTTAATATATTAGTTTTCTTCAATTTTAAGGATTCCTTCAGAACATACTTCATGTACATGAGTAACTTGCGATAACTTAATTATTCAATTACTCCTTTCAACAAGTTAATGTCAGTTCAGACTTAAAATTACAAGTAGTTATACTCAGACTTCAATTTATCAAATATAAGAACTTGTTCACATTCACCCAAGAGTGATAAGTTTTTCGATTGTGATAATTCATTGGTGTTAAATAAGAAATTGCACAAGTACCATAAACATGTTCTGAGGCAGCTGAACTTATGAATTTATCATGAACTCGCAAGCAATTGTTTGTTCCAGCTGTTTGTGTAAAGATACACAAGTGCTAATTTTAAACTGACAAGTCAGAAGTAAGGCAACTAGCTAGTCAACAGCACCCTCCAGCAACTCTAATCAAAGAGTGGGATTTGACCATTAGTCTTATGATGCACATGATTTTGTGGCAACAGAAGATGAACTATTAACTATGACAATCACAGTCTGGCATGCTAACCACAAGTCCATGGCCGACCCATCTTCAAATAACGAATATGTTCATCTAAACTGCGTATGTTATTAACATTTATTTTGGTTGTGGGTTACTTGATAGGTAACAAAATATAATCTAACATTACAGTACAATCTTAAAAACAAATTCAAGATAGCACACTACCAAGATGAATACAATAAAAAAAGCAGAAACAAAGGATGTCATATAATGAAAGAAATAAGCTTACATAACATACTTCGCTCTTTAATAACTTTATTCAATTTTTTTCTCTGATAAATTCTTAAATTTTAAAATCTTTGTAAGATTTATAACGAATCAGATACAAGTCTTGCAAAAACAAGCGAGAAACTTTACTGCAATACATATATCAAATACACTAAGTATAACTTAATCATAGATATTATTAGTTTACAACAGGCTTCGTTATTATACTCGTTTATTTCATTTTTTAAACTTAAATGAAGTTACAGAACACGTTTCTTCACACACGCCACAGCTAGGCCTAAATTATGATAACATTTAAATAAAACTTGTAGTGTTACGTAACTTATAACTTACAAGATATAACTTGTAACTCAACAATAAGTTGAAGTAACACTAACAGTAACATGTAATTTGGGTTCTTATCATTCTTTCTTCTACCAATTTCTGGCAGAAACTGAGAAATAAGTTCTGATTTAAAACACAAGCAGTATTTTTTTGTAAAAAAAATTTTTGAACACAGGAAATTTAAAGAAGTAATTCGTACTATTTCAATTTATAATTAAAATAAAGTTCATATCAGAAAAATGTGTCGTTAATCGACTTCACTTCGAAGTTCAAACTTCTACTTGTTCAAATTAAACTTGAATTTCAAAGTTCAGTCTGAGTACGCATCTACGACTGTGAATTTTATTTGCAAAGTATAAGGGACATTTATTATAATTTATTCTCACCTAGAAACTACGCAAACACAGCTATGGTAAAATAATTAACCTTTCTCTCACAAGGTTTTACTTATTACTATTAGTTAAATTTACACTCATACAACTTACAAATTACAGGCAAGACTGGACCTATTCCAATTTCAGTCCCAATAGATATTGAGTACTTTATTTAACACTTACGCACCACGCTGATAACTTATTTCACGAGTTAGATGAAAACCTGATTTGTATAACCTTTCAGGCGATCATGTTTCTCTTTAAAACTCAAATAAATATTCTTACTTAATTCCTAAATTTTATCAGAAATTTTACTCTCTTCTATATTAGAACATTTCCTCTAGGTTTCATGTTGTCATAATTGATTTATATTTTTATATATTCTATTTAACTTTTCCATGTCATCGCGTGTTTTCTTACTCAAAGCAAATTGTAAGTTTCGCGGATTTTTTATTGTGAGCAAATGAGTTATTTTAGTTATTAAAGTTTTAACGTTAAGTATCTTTGAGATATATTTTATCATGTAACGTTATTGCTATGATTGTTTGATTTAATGAGTTGCAATCAAGGTTCAAACTCAAAGTGAGTTATGTATGCTGACATTAATTTGAATATTGATATCATAGTGTTCAGTCAAAAATTTCATATTATTAATAATGTTATTTTCGTAGATTTGAAAACGCGACCATATTTTATCAGGGGAGACATTGTTGAACCGATCCCTAACTATTTTGAAATTGTGATGATTGTCTGAATGATATAATTTTTTGTTATTATAATACTATTACTAAGAATTCTTTTGAGAATATCGGACTTTCTAACATCTTAATATTCCCAATAGCTTTTATTTTTATATTACTTTCCACATGTCTGTATTTTCCCCCTAAATATATAGCGTAGTTAACATGATTTTTATTACAAATTTTAGACCCACTGATTTCTATTTGTAATGTTTCGGCATTTAAAGTTTAAACAGTGAATGAACTCACAATATAGGCCCTAAGACACACAAGTAGTAGTGGATTAGATAATTGGTATGTGATTCTTGTCTTAATTAATTAGTGTGCAACAGTAACTATAATGCATAAATTATAATATTATTATGTATTAGTATTACTTAAATTTACTATTGAGTCCTGTTTTAACTTTTAGTTTTAAGTATTTGATAGAATATAATGTATGACATATTCTTTTTTTTTTTGGACATTTTGGTTTATTAGATTATTTCTTTGTACATCATCCTTATCTAAAAATAACTGGCTAAATGTTGTTGAGCTCAACCAATCAAATACCAATAAACCCATTCACTAGTTTTTCTGTTTCCTAGATTATTGAGCTCACTCATTATAGTTGATGTATTGATGATACCACTGCCAGGTATCCTGATGAAACACTGTAACCATACAAATAATACTCTATTTATCTGATAATGAATACATTTTTAAGGAATATTTTACCTCTAACTTATAGATATTAATTAATAGGGAAACAAAACTGATACAGTAACTTGTAGTACCATCTCACAAGTTTAACTTCTTAGGATTAATTTCAAGATTTGTCTATTTAACATTACATTTAAGTGAAAAGAGACTGGGTTTTAAACTCGGGACCTATCATTAAAAATAAATAAGTGTGAATAGACTTCATATAATTTGGTCTGTGTATCTATCAATATCATTAAACAGACTAGTGGATCATAATTGTAGTAAAAAGCATTATAAGTGAATATCGATGAGGACAGTTTGTACTCTTGGATAGGTCAGTGGTAGAGCACTGGCTTTGTTAGTGAGGGGTCTTGGGTTCAAGTCTCACTTTTTCATCTGATCAGCTTTATCACTTAGAACGTAATGTTAAATTTGTCTGGTTGGACTGCCTAGTATTACTACATATGCCACCAACAATCTATCACTCTGTACTTGAAGAGGATGTTCTGGATTATTGTACTAAAAGCTTGTTACTTGTATTTTTCACCAAGAATTTTGCTATGAAAAATTAATTTTCCATAGAATTAATCACTTGTACATATTATATTGTTATGTGATGTTCTAGGTAAAGAGTGACACTCACCTGTATGATAGACAGACTTAGTAGATTTTGTTTTACCATCATATTATAAATAGCCTGTACACTAATTCAGATTAATAGTCTTTAATCAGTTGAATTGGGCTTTTCAACAGAAATACAAGTATTTTGTTTTCTTTTTCATTTTTGATATTATTGTAAAACACTATCTTTTGTAATTTTGAGAAGTTGCTGTTATATTTTAAACATATACATAACCACATTTGGTAAAAAACACTAAGTATCCAGATTTTAAATTATACTTTCAAGACTAGTAGATATTTGCATATTAAAAACAATGTGATCAATGTTCTTACATTTTGGTTAATAAATGTGTTAGATCAGATGTATTAAAAATCAATTTAATTGAAGCTTTTAAAACACAATTAAAAATTTATTTTTAGCAAAGTATCGATTTTTTTAAGTGTAAGAAACACCTTAATTACCATAAAGGAAACAGTGTTATTTAGTGAGTTCTTTTTGTTTATAAGCAACAGAAAATGGCAGAACGACCAGAGGACTTCAACCTCCCAAACAGTGTAATAACAAGGATTGTGAAAGATGCAGTAAGTAGAGCAAAATGTAAAAATCTAATTGGTATGCACGTAGACCTAAAAAGTGACTAATGGACAAACTCTTAAAAGGGATCATTTGTTTATATGTAATATCGTTACACACAAGTATGCTTCTATGTGATTATTTGTATGTACTGTATATATATACTTGTGTATTAACACGTTTTTGTTTTTTGTTTGCAATGATCATACTTATTTAATTAATTCACTACTGGATGTTTTTGGGGTGGTGGTTAATGAAAGTGTTCCAAACCACAACATTAATTTCTTGACAACCTAATATTGTTATCATAAATATGGTACTATTGGTAACAGGAACTGGTACAGGAAGTTCAGGCTTTCACAGGAAACTGGACAAGTAGAACCTCTCACAAGATTTATCGGCTGTAGGAAAAGTATAATAAAACAAAAGACTTTTTGTGGCACTGTATTATGTACAAACCAGAGGGACATCACAGAAAATATTTATTGAAAATTCTAAGGTTACAGGAAGTTTGAAAAAAATATATCACCCTGCCAGGTAGTCACTGTTCATGAATTATATTCCCATACGTGATTACAAACTTCAAGTTCTGTAAGTGATTTGAATTTCTTCAACTTTTATTGTGAGAGCAAAATCATTTTTACAGTGTTTTAATGGTACTTTAGAATATTTTTTATATAAAGAATGAACTTGACTTTGTACATTCCAGCTACCAGATGGGGTAAATGTTTCAAAGGAAGCAAGATCTGCCTTTTCAAAAGCTGCCAGTATTTTTGTTTTGTATGCAACATCTTCGTAAGTATGAAGTTTTATTCGAAGTAGATATTTTTTAACACAAAAAGATGCAAGTATTTGTTGATACGATAATAAAACTGAATTGAAGATGTTGATGATAATATTATTAAAAATCAAAATAACAAAATTTAAAAACAAAAAGTAGCAGTAATTTATTGAATTGTATTTCTATTCTGGTTGACATCTGAGTATTGTGTACAAGTTACATGTATGTTTACATCTTCTATTGGCATTAGTTTACGATTTAAGTTTCTTGTAGGAGAACAAAAAAAGTAAAAGTGTGTAGGTCTATCAATTTACCCCACGACTACCAAAAATAGTTTCTTTCTACTGCCACATGTGGGAATATCCTCCTGTACTTGAAACATTGCCAAACCTGAGTGTGTGTGCTGCCATCTGTGTTCTATGACATGAAACCTGGATGTTTATATGCCTTATTACAAAATTGCCAACTTTGCAGGAACACGTATAGAATCTATTTTAAGACAGCTTCTTTATATCTTGGATATTGTTATCTAAATAATTTGTTTCATATTTTGTAACGAGTTTGGCCTCTTATTGACTTAATTTTTTAATGGAGAACGCTTTTCTTCTAATTTTCCTCAATTTTTTGTTTAAGTCATTATTTTTCACTATCCAATACAGTTTTCAAGGAATGTTACTTTAAGATATAGAAAATACAGCTCCTTTCAATATTCAAAGGGGCAAATTCATACTTTTATTTTTTGGTGGATAACTGACACCATTTGGGAATCAGTGTGAAAATTAATTGTGCAGTGAAAGGGTTAAGATTCATTTTACAACTATTGAAAACACCCATGGTAGCTCAGTGGTAGGACTAAGGGCTTATAATGTTAAATATTAGGTCTCGATACCCTCAGTGGGCAGAGCACAGTTAGTCCATTGTGTAACTTTATGCTTAACAAAAAGAAAAGAAACACTACTGTAAAAACAAACTGAATGGCAGAGAAGTTGTAGAAATTAATTCTGTGTAATTTGCATGAAGTCAAAAACATCTATGATAATAGTGAAGTCATGCCATAAATTAGGAAACCAAATGCGTGAAAACAAACAAGTTAACTTCAGTAGGATCCATATTAGTATTGGAATTGTTAATGTAGCAACGTATAAGGTCATATGAAAATATAGAGAGAAAAAAAAGCATATACTCACTGCCAACTTTCTATTCATATTTATTTCTAAAGGATACCAAAAGATGACTATATTAATATCTTGTCATGAAATGTGAAGCACTACAAAAGATTCTTTGTAGGTATTCTTGTGAGAAGATAAAGAAGTGCTTATAGATGATTGGTATTTACAGATTTTCTATTCTTTATATTAAAAAAAAAAACTAATTTAGTTTTCAGCATGTATGCTAAAGGAACCAAAAAGTTTGTTTATCAGGCCTTTAGTAAGTGACAGTAATTTGGCTCTTGTTGAGCAAAAGAGCAATTGGTTAAGGGCACATGGAGGTTAAGAGTTAAATAATTAATTTGCCAAACTTAGTCAATTAATAGTTTTTACTTTCTTGCTTAGGAAAGCACATTGTGGAATTATTATTGCAAGATAAAAAAACGTGATTAAAATTGCTTACCAAGATTATCGTAAAGTACATGTAGTACAAAAATCTATGATTTAAAAAAAAAACTTTGATCATGCAGTTTTACTTTTTGTTTTCTTACTTTAAAATACCATTTTTTTGTTTTTGTAATAAATGTAAATGCTCAAAAATTATTACAAAGGTTAAGATCCCAAAGTTTAGACAAATGGAAATGGTCACATTCACACAGAGTTTGGTTGTTTTTTTTTCCTGTGGTTTTCCACTGGGAGTTGATCAAGACCTTGGGTCCATGTTGTGCATTTGACTTTAAAGTCAATAATTAAAATAGCAGAAAAGTTGGAATTGTAATGTTGATAACCCATTCTCAAACTTCAATAGTAGACGAAGACGCATACTACGAACTTAATCCTCATCGTTTTGTTAATGTGTGTTTTTACCCAAAAATAAAAATGAACTCATTATAAAAATCAAAAGTAATAAAGCAGTTTAAAAAATAGTATATTCATTGTTAAGTTAAAAATGAATATTCATACTTAATTTCTTTTCTTACTTACTGCAGGTTTGTTTGGTTTTTTCATTTATACAAAGATCAAATGTAGACCTCCTAACATACAACAAACATAGATCCAATAAAGAACTAAAAAAACACATAAATGGAATAAACTGTCAGAAATCTTGTTACTGGAGGAACTAGTTTCGATACATTCATCTGCCCTCTTCGGTCTCACATTATCTTTGTGTAGATTGAAGAAGTCACGAGAATCTGTCAAGACTAGTTTCTATAATATCAAGACTTCGGACAGTTTGTTCGTTTACTGTTGTCTTTTGTTCTTAAATGCTAAAAACTAGCATACAACTATGAAAAAACTAGCAGTTTGAAAGTAATTGTATGAAGATTTCAAGTTGTAGGGTTTTAACTGTTACAGTGCCAACAACTTTGCTCTTAAAGCCAAAAGAAAAACACTTTCAGGAAACGATGTGTTAACTGCAATTGAAGATATGGAATTTGAAAATTTTCTGGAACCCTTACAGGAAAGTTTAGAAGGTAAGTGGTGGTAGATGCATTATCAATAAGCCAGATATTGTAAGACTCTTTGATAATTCGGTAAATTTAGAGAAATATCATAGAAATGAATATATTTCTGAGTAGAAGTCATTTGTCAATCACTTAAGGTTTACATTTATACATTCAATTATTCCCCCAAAAATTAGATATGCCACATTTTCATATATCATAAGTACATTTTTTTTTAAAACTTGGTTGTACTTTGGAACTGAAATCATTATAACTTGTAAGATAAAGTATATGTTTTACTTATATATTGAAAGTTGTAATTAGCTACAGAATGTCTGGTCAAAATGTTTACTAAAGCTTCATTATTTTAATAAGATTAACATTAGAAAATGTTATTCTGGTTTTACTGAAACTTCATGTATGCTTAAATATATTAATCACTGCCAAAGCTGGTTGAGCTTAAGCAAGTAAGTCTGTTTATGTAGTTAAGGGTTTTCTCTGCCCATGTTTTAGAAACTGAATTTACAGAAATATGGGTAGAGTGAGCTCATTACTTCTGATCACAAACAGATTTCATTGTGATAGATTTTTGTTTGATGTTTTGTAAAGTTCTCAGGATTTTTGGCTGGTCATTTATTCCCTCCATTTTTGATTAATTTCCAAACTTTAATGATATTAGATCAGTTTTTCTCAAATGGTGTCTCTGCTGAGTCAACACTTTATTTAAATAAATAAAATTCACGTGTTTTTTTTTCATCCTTGTGAAGATAATGGGAAGGGTCATTTGGCAAATCTGGCTGAGAAAGACTGCAATAGATCTAATGGTCTCAAGGAGATTTAGAAATTGTTTAGACTAATTCTTATGTTGTCTAAAGAAGATCTGACTTGATTGATAATTGTCTCTCAAAGCACTAAAAACAGTGACATCTATCTGTCAGACTTGTGACACTTAACTACATATAATAATTGACAGATTTTCATTTTGTAAAACTACACAACTTACTACAGGAAACCATTTACAAGATAATAGTTCTATTTTATTTCACAGCAGTATTCTGTAACTGTATTGAAAGTTACAATTTATATTTACCATCACTGTCATGGCTAGTAGCCTGTATGATCAAGCAAGTCTAATTATAAATAGTTATTTTCTTTTCTTGTTAGTACCAGATTCCAATTAATAATACGTTTATGCTCTATGTTTCAGCTATTCATCCACATCTGTTTTCAGGAAAGTCCTGAGGAGGATTGGGTGTGGTGTTAGTTCAAACCTGGATATTTCTGTTAAAAAAAGGCTGGTCTGCTATCCACATATCCTTGATCTCCATTATTAACAACTTGAACAAACTATTTTAGTAGTTTCAAGAGGGGTAGCAACGTTTCGCTGATTTCTCTGCTAGGTTTACTGAATGTGTCATCAGTTAGGTGAAGGTAGAAGACTTTATTTGTCTTTTGTGTAGTTCACCCCACATTATTTTAGTAATATTCCATTTTTTTATATGATCATCTCTGACCTGATGAGTTATTAGAGATATATTGTCTTTACAAAGCATGTGAAATAGACATAGAAGACCATGGATATAAATTGATTAACGATTAGACTTAGATGATCATATAGGCTACGTACAATTTATTATAAAGATTCGGTGAAAAAATCATGCCATATTTGCTATATCCAGTTCCAATGAGTCCTTTCACCCAATACCCAAGCTCATCAGACTGACTGGGATATCACAAACATGGGAATTGTTGAGGTGCTTAATATCTGGTCACTACAACCTTACCATAAGTTCTTTAGATTTACTGTGTTATGCATAATTATTTATCAGCGTACTAACAACACGTAACCAAAGTAACCAGTCCATATGGGAAGAACATCCAAGGTCCAGTAGGTTCAGTCTTGAACTCTCTTAGCTTCTTAATATTTTATAGTTATCCACAAATGAACCTAAGTTGTTTTACTGTATTCTTAAGAAACATACAGTGAAATATTCATGATACTTTATATTTTTATCTTTCTTGAACCTTTATTGTAGGTTAATTCTCTATTTAGATAAACTTAAATATTAGTTTTATTTTTTAGTTTGTTCAATTTTTTTTTCTAACTTCACCTATAGCCCTTTTAGTTAGCATTTTTATACATATTTTTATATCTGAAAATTAAAATATTTTATAATGGAATAGCTATTCTTTTTTTCTTATAAAATTAAGAATATTACAATGTGGTTAACCTAAGCTTACAAAAATTATGATTGCTAATAATAACGTCTCATTCTTAGTAAAGATAAATGGTTTATTTCTGTCACAAATGTTTTTGAATAAAAATAAATATCGTTGTTCTCATTGTGTGAGGAAAATATGGTGTTTTAAACTATGGCAGTATATCTGCTTTTTGTGAATTGGGTGTGGCAGTTTAAGAAGAAAGGTTTCAGTTTTTATTTCCTTATCTGTATAGCTTTTAGAAAAGAAAAGGCTAAAAAGAATGAGTCAGGAGGAAAGGGCAAGAAAAAAAGGCCAGAATCTGATAAACCTGATGTGGAAGGTGGTGATGAAGAACAAGAAGTGGAAGAGGATGATGATTTGAATGAAGAAAATCAGAATTCTGATGGAAATTGATCAAACTTGAAATAAGTCATCTCATAAGCTGTAAAATCATCACAATAATGCATCATCTTGCCCCCCCCCCAAGTTTACATTATGCATACATGAAACAAAGCGATTTTTGTAAAAAAAAATAAAATCAAATGCTATTTGAAAATCTGTCTACTGTTTCATTAAATGCTAAAGGAATTTTATGTAAAAGAAAAAACCCATATATCAGAGTCAGTGAACTTTAATTAATAATAAAATGTAATTAGATAATAAGATGCTATCAGTTTCAAAATGACATTTTTTAATGGTGACACCAAGAATAGGGACATAATACGAGTTACTTATTTAATAAATATGTAGAAGAGGATCCAAGAGTGTTAATTAATGCTATTTCTTGGATTTAATTTCCTGTGATTATATTGATGATGACAAAATTTTAAAAAAGTATTGTCTGATGAAGGTTGAGTACAGTAAATTAAAACGATTTTGGAGCCTCACCATGTCAGTAGGTCTGGTCATACTCTTATCTGACCACTGTGCACCTTGACAATAGTCTTGCAGCATAGTTTCAATTAAAAAAAAAATTGTAAAGCTGTCATGTCAAAGTACACCACTCCTTCCTGCATGATCTACCTAGTGTACAAGGCCAATAGTTTCCAAGCAGCACCTGTTTTAACAGTAAGATTGAAACGAAATCCATTTGCAACTTGACTGATATCTCTTTGTATAGAATAGCATGAATACATGTTTCAATTTCCAGTTGCTTGACTTTTGCAATGGTTGAATGTATATGTTGTAGATACAACTTTTGTCAGTTTTCCAGTTAGAGATTCTTCTTGATTATGTTATGTTATTGCCTGGGACATGTGGGCAGCTTTTGCCACTGATCTCTGTGTTTATGGATTCTTATCTATTACAAGACATTGCACTTTATGTACCTTGACTGGGATACATCTTCTTGGAGGTCTCTTTCTGGATGATCTTAGTTCTCCAGGTTGATACATATTCCATTGTTTTCAAATGACTTTATGTACAAGGAATATCCCGTTAATCAAAGTCAGTAACTTGTAATTATTTCATGTTATAGTTTTTAGCTTCTCAGTCTTTTTGAAATAATGAAGAAAATCCCTTAAAACTGGTTATAGTTATTTTTTTTAGCAAAATTCCCATGTAACATCTAAGTTATAAGTATTTGATCAAGTTACTTAAAGCTAGAATTGTTGTCCTTCTTAGTTGGAATTTCATTTTCAGAAAAATATGAAACTGTACATAAGAGTATTATTTCAGTATTATAATCCATGTGATATCATAATAAACATCAAGCCCAAGAAGGCCTGGTAGGGTGCTCAACTTGCAATCTGTGGGTCACAGGTTCGAATCCCCATCACTAAACATGCTCCTCCTTTCAGCTGTGGGAGCATTATAATGTGACAATCAATCCCACTATTTGTTGGTAAAAGAGTAACCCAAGAGTTGGTGGTGTGTGGTGTTGACTAACTGTCTTCCATCTAGTCTAAATTAGGGACTGTTAGTGCAGGTAGCTTTGCAAGAAATTGAAACCAGTACTAGAAAGAGCACGTGCTTGAAATGTCACTAAAAGAAATCTAATTTTCCTTTCATTTGAGATTTTTTATTTTAAACTCTAGACTGGAAATTTATGAATGTAACATTATCACAGCAATTTTGTGGTGTAGAAGTTAAATCATATTGACTGATGTGATAGGGAAAGTAACGTGTTTTGCTATTAATATTAATGATTTTACTGTTTTATTCTGCTTGTATCAAATATTTTGTACCATAGGAATTATTATGCTACAAAAAAACTGATGAAATTTGCTTTGTATTTAAGTTTTAAGGTTGCTTGACAGATGATTCCATATTAAATAAACTTCCACGTAATATATTCGTAACCAAAATTATAATACCGTTTTAGTTAGAAGAACAGAAATTCTTCATTATTGTGGGAAAAAATACTACTGAAACATAATCAAATAAAAAATTGTAACTGTAAAAATTTTTGTTTTAAACAACTACTACATCAGTTGGATTTACACAAAGGTTAATTATCTAATGTTGGTCTTTCAAACTTTAGTCAAACGCTGTCTGTTGTTTAAAGCTCAAACAAATTCCAGAAAATGACTATTTTCTAGCTATGTTAATCCGCAAGGTTGATGATAGAAAATGCATTTTTTTTCAAGAGGTTCGACGTCGTGAATAAAAATCAAAGTGCTAAATCTGATTAGAAAGGTGTGTAACTAAAATTTTCATTAGCGTTCGTTGTATTTTATATACGTACGGGTTGGAATTGAACATTGTGCTATTATGTAACAGTAAAATGAAAATAACTTTCCTTACTTGAAACATTTTTGAAAGTATGACGTAAGATTACTACTATTGTTTAGTGTCTTCAGAGGAAAAGGGTTAACTTCTGGTTTTGTGAAACAAGGGTTACTGATGTCAAATATACCTCAATTATTGTGCTCGCTTTTTTATTACGTCAAACACTGTAATATAATGTAACACACTTGAAAAAAATTATCAGCTATACAATCACGATATCATTCAAAGGTTTTAAAAATCTGTTAGTCTTAACGAGAAGCATTCTACCTATACTGTTTATATAATAGTAAGGGAAAATAATTAACAGTTCGACACAAACCAATACCTTGGAGGACAAAGTACGCCATAGTTGTAATGGGATATTAATACGACGAATTAACATTAAAGTTACAAATATTTAGTTAGACCAAGCCAACGTTACCATCTCCCTGGCGTTGAAATCAGTTATTATTAACTTTTTAAATTGTAAAAACTTAACTGCCAACTTAAAAATTTGCTTAAATTAATGCACGATGTTTAAAACTTAAAGGCAATTGATATGAATATCATTTATTTTAAACCAGTCTGAAGTGATTATTACAGTATAATCTTTAGATAATTTCTTTGACACATCAGAGAACGCCGAATAATGTTTAACAAACAAATGTATTTTTCAGACTTGTATCGGTACCTACAGTAGCGTTAGCTTGGTCGGTGCTTTTTCAATTTAGGAAAAAGTTCAGCCCCATCGCAGAAAGCCTCCGATCTTTCGGTTTAAATTTTCTCTGCCATTTTCTGATTCATGGTGATGTTTTGAGGGCTGAGAAAATAGCATCAAAGCTCTTTTAACTGCCCGTGGATCTTCGAACATTCTTTCCTGCATGCGACCTACATTTGCCCAAACTGGGTCAGGCAAAGTATCTGGTACTTCCAAAATTCTCTCTGATGGAACCTGGTCAACCAGAAATTGAGGATAGAACTGAATGGGCTGTCCATTACATCTAGGGTGCAGAAAGGTCATCAGTCCCAGAAAGACTGCCACTGTCAGAGTAACATTCCTCATTCCTAATAGATAATAAAGACATTTTATACGATTCGCAAAGAGCACGTGCTTAGTGTTTATATCCTTTTGAACACATACCTATTTTTAGAAAAAAAAAAAAAACTAATAATAAAAGAAAGGCCATCAAACAAGAGAAGTGTTGAAAATAATAAAAAGAGAAAACCCTGCACTAGCTGAACATGCAAGTCATATAATTCAGTGGAAAAACAACAACATATTTTTGCTCAACCAAATGATATGACATGACGGTCAGAAATATCAGCGAATATTGTGGAAATAATGAAACACTAAAAATAATGATCATATCTTGAATGATAATAAAGAGTTGGCAAATCAGAAAGTATGAAGAAGGTGTGATTTTCTTTAAGTTCAGTATGTACATTAAGTAGTCACATGGCTTTGGTATATATGGTTTTCACCATTTTTCACTTTACACTCCTGTGGATGACGTGATTGTACGTCGAAACTTGTCGTATCTGTTTTGAAACCGTTGACGATCTCAGAATAAAGTTTTTAAACTGTGTACTTATAAACGTTAATCGTTTGAGCGTTATAATAATTATTTTTTACATACATACTTTGAATTTTTGCATTTTAACATCACATACCACTCACTAACACTAAAGAGCTAACATGGAAGAATTCTCCTTGTTCCCTCCAGAAATATTTTTCAAAAATGATTTCATTGGTTATTATATAAACTGTTGATCTTAGAGTCGCGGCTTTGAATCCCTGTCGCCGAAAATTTCCGTCTTTTCAGCCATGAAGGTGTTATAATGTAACTGCCAATCCCACTATTCATTGGTAAAAGAGTAGCCCAAAAGTTGGCGGTGGGTGGTGTTGATTAACTGCCTTTCCTCTAGTCTATAACTACTAAGATAGGCACGGCTATTGCAGATAACCCTCGTGTAGCTTTGTGAGTATTTCAAAACAAACCAAATCATACTAAACTTTTGATAACAGTTTTTCTTTTCTGGAAAGGAAATTAAAGGGAAAAGTTTGGCATTTCCACAAGAGATATTAATGCAATGAAAAATTAAATGGAAGAAAACTAAGGAAAATTTTCAAATTATGATAACTTTATGTGTGCCTATTTGTATAGAGATTAAAATTAAGTGTTTTTTTTTCGTTTCCGTTATTTGTAGCACTGGGTTGATTTGGTTAGTGTGATGTCTTGTGAATATCTGTTTAGCAGGAAAAATAACTCCTTAGTCTAACTAACACGCGTTTTTCTGTCCGGGTAATTTTTCTCAATGTTGGCCTTGAAGCTTAAGATGCTGTACTGCCATTGTTTGCTTGAGCATTTAACAAATTAATTCCGATAGTTGAAACTTTGAAATAGTTTTTATTTACTTTAATAATTAAGGCGAAATATCCTGAGTTGAAAAAACAAAACAAGTTTGTATGATGAAGTTTCAATATTCGTGTAAAGTTTATGCTCGTTACAGCGTGTGGGCAAATTATTTTATTACCGTTCTGTGTTCTTAGATGAGAGAAAAATGATGGATTAATTTGCTTATGCTTTGTGTTTTAAACTAATTTAGCATTTCAAGAACCCTCCGGTCGTAAAAAATTAACTTAATTATTAAACACAAGGGAAGAAGAAAGAGTCACAATTTTAGTGTTTTGTCAATATAAATGTGTTTTTTTTTTAAGGAAAAAAAGACGGGCTTAGATAATAAGTGAAGGTTTTAATACCAAAAATGTCACCCGGTGGGACAGAGGTAAATCTACGAACTTACAACACTAAAATCAAAGGTTCGTTTCCCCTCAGTTGACACAGATAGCCCGATGTGGCTTTGCTATAAGAAAAACACACACTCGATTCAGCGCTGTAG